ATAAGAATTGTAAAAAGTGCTTTCTGAATACAATAATTACTAGGGGAAAAAGCAGGAATTCCAGGAGTTAACGGATCACTTACTGATTTTCGTTCTAGTATTTGGACATATTGCTTTTTTGCTTCTTATCTTAATGAAATCGTGTACATACCGCCTTTTTCTTATTTTCTTATATATCTATATGGATTTCTAATGAGAAAAACCTTAAATTTTAGTATGGAAATCGGAATTGAATTAAAATCTCTATCGATGATAAACACCAAAAACTCAATTTTGAAAAAAATGGAGTTGCTGCTTAATGGCTTATGACGGCAGTATAAAGACAATAAACAAAGCCAATACTAAGACTGACAGCCAAAGGCAAAACTAGGAATTTTTATTAGGACAGGCCAAAAGAAAAATATTATTATATAATGACTAATGAGTTTAGTTTAAATTTTAAATTTTATTATGTCAGTATATTATCCAGTAAGTATTAGGTCAGGCCATGGCCTCAGAGGCGTAATTAAGAGGGGAGGGAAATAGACCCCCCCCAAAAAAAAAAAAAACTTAATATATTACTAAAATTTCATTTCTGATTAGGTAAGTTACTGTATGAGGCTTACAGATTTTGCTAAAAACATGTAATTTCCCACCACAAACCATATTCCTAATTATGCCTAATTCCTTTAATGCTTGATCAATATAGTATTACTATTATAGCATTTTTATTAGTGACCAGTGGGTTCATATTTATTTATATAGAATTTTTAACTGATACATATATTCATTGATTGAGTATTTATAATCAATGATATATTATACCATTATTTTATTTATATTTCACGATCATATTTTACTCTAAAATCAATAGTAAAATATAATAATATAATTCAAGTTTTTAAACTAAATATATTCTTGGTTACATAAATAATAATATTATAGTCATTGTTAATTGTCAAACGTCAGCCAGTGGCCTTCGCTGCCAAAGCTTATTCTAATAAAATAAAATAAAAATAATGTTATATTTTCAGGTTATTGTTTTAAAGTATAATGATTTAACAATTATGATAATATTAATATTATAATTTATAAGTTTTTCAATGTTTACACTTGTGCAGATGTAATCTATTTGTAAGTTTGGTTTACAATAAATATGAGCTGAAGAAATAAACTATTTATTAGTAATATTATAAAATATAAATTTTTTAATGATATTAATTATTTTAATAGAATATTTATATTTTGCTTTCATCCACATCCACCTCCAGAACATGCACTTCTCCTTGGAGGTCTATAATTTGAACCACTACCAGACCCCATTAAAGGATTGTAATCTAAACAAAACAAAAAAATATTTAAAAATAAATAAAAATATGTGTATTAAATAAATATAAAATTATGAKTAAATTATTAGTAATTTGCATATACAGTTAATAAATTAGTTAATATGTATATTTTATATTTATAATAATGAAAATAAATATTAAATGGGCATCATATCTGGCCTACAAGTAGTTTCAATTATCTACATAAAACATAATAGATGTATTCAGAAGTAATACAGTATACCTTGGTTGAATCTAGTCGAGTATACAAACAAATATAGAATTATGAAATACATTTTATCAAATATGATTGTTACACTTTTTACAACATTTAAATTTAAAAATAAATATTACCTGGTTTTGAATTCTTGGACTTTTGAGACCTGTTAATGGACTGCCCAGAAGTTCCATTATTTAATAATGCTTGTTTTTCTTCTAATATTTTCTTTTCTTTCTAAGATAAAATTACATCTTAATTCAAATCATAACTTAAAATTTATAATTAATTAATTTTACTTCTTTTTGTTTCTCTAGTGCTATTTTTGCCTTTTTCTCATATTCTTCTTGGAATTTTATTCGAGCCTTTTGTAATTCCTCTTGTTTTTGTTTAAATAAATCTGGATCTATACATTTTATACGGTTAGTGCTTTTTTAAATTTTTTTATTTCAATGGTAGTTTTTCATACTTTTTTTAATGTCTGCATCATATGCAGCTTCTGCTCTTTGTTTTAACCATTTTAAATAATGAGGCCATAATTTGGGGACTAAATATGCCAACAAAATGATAAAAGCCAGGAAGTACCATCCATTATTTTGAACAAACCCTAAAAAGCTCCATACGTAGTCTATATTGGAAAACAAGATATTTTTCAATTTAATTAATTACTATCCATAGATACAAATTGTAATTTATAGCATAAATGATTTATTATTTAACATATAAATTATTCCAATAACCTAGATATTTTATTTAAAGTCTCACCTGTAATAGATTCAAAATATGAAATTTCTTCATCATCTGCGTTAATTATTTCTTCCTCCATATCCATTTTTACACTTTAACAAATGATTATTTTCTATAAACCAAATTTCATAAGATTTCTTGCGTAAATTTAAAAAGAGTCAACTGACCCCCACTCGCCACCTAATTTAATAAACAAAAAACAATTATACAGCTGCACTTCACACTCAGCACTCAGCGTCTCAGCGAGAACTAAGTARWTAGTACTTATTACTTTTATGTCATATCATAGTTAGTGGTTCACTCGGTATTGTTGTCTCAATGATTAAGCTAATAAATTATTATCGTGTCAATATGTGATATGCTTAGTATGATCTAAGATAATGTACAAGGCCACAAGGGTGATATTAAATTATGTAAAGTTGTTGTTGTTGTTGAATATTGATAAACAAATTTCAATTATCATAAACAGTGTGACCACAGAATAGATTATTCTACCTGACCAAGTAAGTATTAAGCTTAGATATTTATGAGCATGGACTTAAAATGAAGTAAATGAACAATACTACTATAACCATTATTATATTCTGTGCTATAACCGTACAAGAACATAACGGAATATTGGAATATTAAATAACATTAATACATTATGATTATGAAAACTAATCGAGAASATCATTTTTAATGTTTGCAAAACCACATGTTATTAGATGAAATCACATTTTATTTGCATCGTAAACTGAACAATCAATGTTTTACTMCATAGACCTATTAACCAGGGGCGTCATTTCAACTTTTTTATTGTTGGTTGGTGCCAAAATTTTTGCAAGCCATTCAAGGAATCATTACCAGGCCACATGGAGATTTTTTTTGGTGGATACAGTGGTGACAAAAACTGTATCTAATATGTCACCTATATTAATATGAATACCTACATCACAATATTATTACTATTTTTGAAGAACTATATGTACTTTCAATG